ATGGACTGAGAAGAAAAGACTAAACTCAGCTTGACACTGATTTCTTCCACATCCTGCATGAAACCACAAAAGCAAATCTATGCAAACTCAAGCAGCCGCACCAGTTACCTACTGCTCCCACTGACTTGAATATGTGTTCTAAAGGCACTTTAGTTTTTCAGGATCTGCTTCAAAGATCACTGTTGGCAGTGGAAGACTTCCAGTGTTGGCCACATTAATATGGATCATGCCATGCATTTCAGTCACAAATTTAAAAGTGCAGTGCAAAAAGAGACTAACGCTGTTTCCCATTACACATACGTCTGTGGTAGTATGTCTGGTAGTATGTCTGTACTTCTATAAGCATGCACATGCATTTTCCTCTGTAAGAACTATATAAAATTGGGAAACACGCTGTATAACAGTTCTATATCTCCCAGGGACTGGGCTAAATAGTTGCAGTGCACAGGAATTGACTGCAGAATTATAGGTGATATTTGCCCTTTTTTTTTCGCCACCAAGTCTCCATGATGTGAGAGTTCCTTGCCTGTGTAGAGATTTAGAGGAATTGTTAGAAAGATTTTTTTCAAAGAGCTTGGCACTGGCACAGGTATTTGAATAAAGTTAGGACAGAGACACCAGAATATGGAACTGATCCTTGGCAGAAACATAGTGTAAGCAGTTTGGAAATTCTGAATACAGAGATGCTTTGCTGGAGCTCCAAGCTTGGACTTCTGTTGTTGCCTTTATTGCCCAAATTAACAACAGGAATGACATAAGCAATAAATGAGGTCTAGGATCTCTGTCTATGTATTTCCTTCCAACAGCAGATTTTTGAAAAGTGCAACATCTGCAACATCTCAGAATCTGAACTAGGTGTTTCATTCACAAATGTCCATATATGCTGCATGTAACACCATACTCCATTATCCTGTACACCCCATTATCCTATACTTTCTGCAAATTAAACATGTATGACAGGTCTGAGTTTAGGTTGATGACATCCTGGAAGAGTGGTTCATGTCAATAACATCCCTACGATGCAAAGGAGCAAGATGAATTTTGTATAGGCCACACATAGGACAAAGGAACTCACTGTTTATATTTTATAAGATTTAAAAATATAGACAACAGTGATAATGGGTGAAAAGTGAGAATAGAACTTTTTTAAAAAGGTCTTCCATGAGTTTCTACACCTGCTTATATAAAAAAAGTCGTAAAGTATCATACATCTAAACTATTACTGGCCCAGAACTCATCATTTTTTATCCTGGTAAGGGGAAAAAGGTCCTGTGGTTATCATGCGTGTGTGAGATGTAAGCTGGCACCGTACCTTTGAGCACACCAGTATACAAAGTTTTGACAAATCTATATACATATATATTTATATATCATGCAATCAACCACTAGCAAACTACACAGTAAAAGTACTCTCATTCCTCACCTTCCTTGCTATTTAAAGAGAAATATTTTGTTTATGTTTTTATGGCACAGCCAATGATAATTTAAGAGATCACTATATTAAGAACAGTGCTTTTAACCTTTATTCTCTACACATGTTTCAGTTCATTCAAGTCAACAAGAATTCTATACGTGAAAGAATATCAGAGAGGTATGAGTAAGATGTTACTGTCTGAGCCACTGAAACTCACAAATGTAGCTATGTTATAAAGATGCTTAAGTTAAGTGCTCTGTTTTTTATAGACACAATAATTGCAACATACAGTTTTTTCAAATATAAGCAAATTAGAAATTATGAATTGCAGTCCTAATGTTGCTCTTATTTTTGGTAGTTTCTTTAACAGAAAAATCCCATGTTCTATCACTATATATGACATAAACTACAAGCTAAAATAACAGAAATTTGCTAAATCCCATTTCAATTTCCAACAGATAATTTTGGACATGATATTGGACTAACTGCAGATACCTGAGGTAGTCAAATACTAACGCTGGCAATTTTTGTTTATAATGACTTAACCTCCTGAAATATGATCATCACTTAAGATATAAATCTGAACCGATACATGTATTTTCATCAACTTTTACAGCAACAGAAAAAGACGATATCTTTTCAGTGTTTATACCCTCACTTAATTCTGCTTGTTTTAAAGGCCTAAACTTGTTACACAATTTCTTTGCTATGCAGGAAAAACTCCATAAACCCCCCCCTTTCAAAATGTGTTTCTTATTAGGCAGTTACATAAAAAGAAAATAAAAATACCATATGATTTACCGATATGCATTTTGTCTAGATTAGATTACTTTATCTCTTTTCTCTATCCAGGTTTAAGTACTTTAAAAATGCACAGCTACAGCCCTTTATTGGTAGGATTTGCAAAACAAATTTCATTTTTGACAGCACTAGCAAAACTAAGCATCAAAATATAAGCTATTAAGTAGTGCATGTAATGTTCACACTAAGAAATCAGTTATTGTCAAAAGCAGTGATAACAAATGGGGATTTTTATGACAAAAGCCTGATCCTGCCATTGGTGCTCCCTTCCTGAGCACAATGTTTTCAATGTTTTGAATGTAACTTGTGCAAACAGGGTCATCCTCTTTAGATCTGTCCTCAAATTTAGATAACATAAGGAAACATGTAAATTTCTGTGAATGCTTAACTCTGTTTTTTTTCAAGAAAGCACTTTCATGCTGATTAAACCATAAAGCAATTGCTTGTGTTAGAAGAAATCTCCAACAGAGCAGAACCAATGTCATATCACCTGTTCCTTAACTAACATAAACTTTAATCTATAGAAACAGATATGTGTACACACAGCAAAAGGAACTGACGAGACCTGACCATATGTCCATGTAGTCACACATGTGCAAGGAGATGAAAAGCACAAGAAAACACATGAGAAGGACGTAGAGAGTCTGTACACTTTCTGTGAGGAGACTGAGAAAACCTGGCTTGGTTAGTCCTACAGAATGAATGCTGAGAGAGGATATGATTGCAGTCTATTAATACACCCTGAGATAAACACCAGGGAGGGATAAGAACTATTTCAGTGGAGGACAATGTTGGCAGGAGAACAAGTGACTGTAAGGTGGCCATGAGTTACACTCATCCTAGAAATTGGAAGATTTCTAGTTAGGAGAGGACTGAGGTTCTGGAGCAGCTTCTAACATCAGCAGTAGCAAGGGCAAAATACTGAAATGCTTCCCAACCAGAACCTGATCAGTTTTGGAAAGGAGCTATATGATACAGCTGCCTGTAACCATAGGAGACCGCACGCAGTGAGTGAGCAGGTGCCCCCCTGTCCTGTGTTCCTTCAGTCATTTCTCCCTATCTCATAGGACAGCCACAGAGTACACCCAGTAGGAAGTCTTTCCATTTCCTGGTTCACAGAGAAACTGAAGACATTAAGTTGAATCTTTAAAAAAAAAAAACCATAGGATGTGTAGTTTAAGTGAATTACTGTTCCTACACAGTCCTTAATTTGTTTGTATCTCCTGGATTTCTATGCATGTCTTCAATTTTCACTAAATTTCTTTAATCCCTAGTGCCTCAAACCATAAGAATGCCTATGAAATAAACAATGCATTACTGCTCCAACACTGACACATTCACTTGGGACCAACTGTGTGAGCTGCAGCTTGCACGCCCTGATTGTCAAGAGACCTGTTGCATTCATTTGGTTTCTCACACTGCACGGCAAAGCGCAGCCATCCAACCCCAGATTAGCAGTTTCTCACTTCACCACATAGTTAGTAGTTCTAGGTTTAGTCCCCTTGTTAAGCAATGTATGCTATTACATGGTCCTATCTTTACTTTGTTCTGTAACATGCTAAATTAAGTACATTAAACACAGAAGTACACAAACCAGAATACTTTTGATCTCCAGCAAAGAAAATTTCACAGTTGTTTCCTAAAGAAAATTCTTATTCAATATATATTGAAATAATAAGTAAAACCATTTTCAAGTGCCACACCTAAGATTGCAAATGTACTTTAATTCCATAGCTTTCATTAGAATTAAATACAGCTAAAGTAATAAAGTTACTCTATTCATAACAGCAAGAAGAATTCACTCAGTTAAAGCTCATCTGATGTTACACTTGATTTCATGCTGACCTTACTCAGCTGGCAGATGCTCTTCTGCTTGTGTTTTGGCTTATATATGTCTGACATCCTCAACTGCAAATTAACTGTAGTTAATTTTACGCAGATTAATTCTGCTGAAAGTCATACAATAAGAGGATAGGAGGTTAAAGTCATAGTGAAGTGGATGCTGGTAATGTCCACATCTGTGTTTCTAAAGTATTGGCAGCATTTTAATTTCCTTGGGACTCTACATAAGATATTGTTGGAATTCTGAACGTTTAAGCCAGCAACACAACTGCATCCAGCTGAAACCAGAGAAAATGAAAAAACCTTGTACACTGTGGCTTGGAGCCTCAGGAAAAAAAATAAATTGCAGATTGGTGAGTGTTTTATACCTCTGCACACTGGTTTATACCTCTTTTCTAAGGAAATAAATATTGCCAGCTTTGCCACTACAGAAAAGTTCTAGGAGTCAAAGACCAACACATCTTGCCAAGTATAGCAAAACTCTTTTATAAGACAGAAGAGAGTTTGCACCAGAAATACCTGGAGCTTGTGTTACTGATTCAAAGTTCTCCAATGTAACAATTTCTTCTCCTTTAGCATATGTAACTTGTTATATTTTTATTAAGTGCTATTGCCAAACTGACTACACAGGGTGCTGCTTGAAAACGTATTTTACACAATCACTGTAACAGAAAATTTCATAGTAGCCATTTTTAAATTTTCCAAAATCTACCTACTCATGTGCCTAGATTAATATCTTCTGTAATATTTATCAGGCAAATGAAATAGCTTACTTTTTCCATCTGCATTGTGATAAAGACTAGATTAAAAGAACACATGGCTAGCTTGGCACTTTGTCAAGATATTTCTTCAGTGCTACCTCCCTCTCAAATTCTGTGTTACTAAATCAGGGAATGGGGAAAATTTTAATGAAGATTTTTCCAGAATATTATATATTCCTTACCTGTGGGCAGTCTTTGATGTAGTGTCCCTTGTTAAAGCAGAGGTGGCACAGGTAGTTAGGAGGTGGCCTCTTGCTGGGTTTTCTGGCTTCTGAAGAAAGGGATAGGTCAGAGAAGTGCTCAGTGAGGGAGCTTAACCCATCCACAATGTTATTAAGTGAGCCATAAGGCGATGCACTCTTGTACAGACTGCTGCTCAGAGCCTGCAAAAGAAAAGAAAAAAATTGCATGCAACATAGGACTGTATTTAGGATTGGTCTGAGGAAGATCTGAGTAGGAGAAGGATAAAAAGAGCAGGGAAAAAAGTGATTTTTTTCATTAGAAACATGGCTGCATATTTGAGGAGAGCAATATACAGGCCATTAATAAAGAGGTTTCACAAAGGCAGTGCAATGGAGCTGGTCACCCCACTGCTGAGGAAACTGTTGAGCTTGCCATGGTTCACTTAGTCCAACCTTTCCACTAAGCAGTGACTGCTTTCTTGTGTTTGACCGTAACATGTTCATGGTATGGTTAGAATATGCAGGTAAAAAGCTGAAAGAACAACTCACAAAAAGGAATGTTTTTGTGTCCAAAACTACTTACGCAAAGAATATTGAAGTCAGGGAAAGGAAAAGAACACCAAGAAAAATGCAAAATAACTTTTAATTTCCAATCTGGTTAATCAGACAGTCAATATAGAGTCCCATGTTCAAATCATAACAAGAAACATTGAGCTCTACATCTGGTTTGGATTTTCTAAGGGGAAACCTACTGCAATTTAAACATTTCCCGATAAACAGTAAATACTTGGGTTTTGTACTTCACCTCAATAGGATCTTCACTCTCTCAATCTGCAAATCTAAATCAGTAGCTCCTAATTTGCCATTCAGTAGTTTTAGAACAGCAGGAAACCCATCAACACCTAAATACCTATTCTCCCTAATGGAGATAACAAGGATTCATTCTTTAACTTGCTAACATTCAAAAGAAACTGTAGCAGGAGCTTAAAAAGGAAATAACTCTTAAAAACATTAACATAATAATGAATAGGACCAACTATTGACTGTACGCTCCATCCTTACATTATGGGACACTTTTCACATGGTGTTTCCATCTTAGGTCTGTAATGCTATGCTCATGTAATTCTCCTGGCATCAAAGAATTACCACCAGCTTATGGGAAAGTGAGGTAAGAAGAGATCCAATCTGTGCCTCTGTGAAGACCTTGTATTTCAGTGCTATTAAATCCAAATACTTCAGTGGAGTCTTTATATATGTCATATATGTTTATACCTGTTATATACCTATTGAAGACATGCATTGAAACTGATTTAGAGAGTTTGTGAAATAAATCTGAAATGGAAAATATGTTTATTTCAGAGATCTCAAACATTCAGGATGTCTGCAAACTGAGTGTTTTCCTGCTGACAGTCACACACCAAAAGAATGATATTGAGGCTCTAGGTATAAGCACCTGGATGAGTCCCAGCTCTCACTGAATCCCATCCCACTGCAGATGGTGTACACTGTAAAGAAAAATCTAGCCTGAGATAATCTGCTCCACCCAGTTGCACTATGGTCAAACAAAACACTGACCCCTCTTACAAAACTGAAGCTGGTGCACAGCAGCAGGATCAATTCAAAGGGCCCCAGAGCAGAATCTGATCTCACAGGGGACTTCACATATGTCCAGGCACTGAAATGCCCATAATTTTATTCCCTGTACAGCACAGCTCTGTGCTGGTGCAGGATGTTGTGGTTGCTAAGAGGAGAATCAGCCACTTTGTTTCAGGGGTTAAAGCTATAGATTTTAAAAGGAAAAGCTATTTCAAAAACAAATAAAAAGATTTTAGCTGCTTTAGCCATCAAGCAACCAAAGATACCTCCAACGGTCACTAGAATTTATTGTCTAGAATTTATTAGATGCTATTGGAATGAGAAATTCTTGGCATCAAATTGTTAAGAGGAAGCGGAAGTGCTATGGATGCCAAAATAGTATTAATGAAGAGTCTTCAAGAAGTTCTTGTCTCCCTAGGAGCCACTCTCTCTTATATATACTTGAAATAATATAAAATCTTTTTTTAAGAGTCCTCTTGCCTTTAAGAGATTCTTAAAGTACTTCACATGCATTACACACATCAGTAACTTTGCAAATTCCTTATTATCAGATTTTTATAGAAAGTTGTACGTATGGACACACAGAATGTGTGAAATCCCAAATTCTTTACCTATTACCAAAATCTAAAATATCTCCTGGGGAGGTAGAATATGTAACTCCTGGCCATCAGGAGGTTGCTATTCTTGCCCCCAGGGCCAACTCAGTGACAAAAGAAAACATACTTATCTGCTGCCTTCAGTGGGCTTTGAATTGGATATATGGCTTGCAGTGGTGACTATTTTCTTTTCTAAAATCCCTTACACTGAGCTATTGCCCTCATTAAAAGGGAGAAATTTGGGGATTATTTGAGAAACTAGGGATTATATAATTCACTCCTCACCAACACTTCTGGGCACATTTCAGGTCAATACTGTAACATAAGGTGGCCCACTCTGTCAGCAAACCTTTACAAACTTTTGTTTCAACCAGAAGCCTTGTCAAAGGCCAGAATCCCATTAGACTATGGGCTGCACTGACACTAAATCATAATCTTAGCAGCCAGCATTGGTTCTGTGGCCAAAGTGTGGCACATGGCTCTAAAAGTGGCCACCCGGTTCAGCTGGCAGTGCATTTGTGCAATACCTGCCAAAAGCTGGACATGGCAAAACATCCAGTCTACGCATGGCACCACAAAACACTTCCCTATAATCATCTTGAGGCCCAGTGTTAAAAAAGGAAGAAACAAATACATCATCCCAGAAGATGACACTAAAGGAGAAGATGGACATTGCTGATGTCACTGGTACTTTAAAGAACAATGAATTCCTAAAGTAAATTCCTAGACGATCCCAAAATGCAGCCCATCCCTCTGGGTACAGTCAGGCAAAACACTTCAGTGGTTCCTGCCAATCTGACCTGGAAAATGGTCTTAAATCTGTTGCACTTGAAAGTTGCTATAAAGAGCACCCGCACAAATGGTGCTACATCCTCTTTCTAGCTCTGGAAATCTCCAGTTCTTCAGAAGCAGATGAGGAAATAAGCCATTCCCAAAAGCCAAGTTATATAATAAGGGTGGTAGTGGGAAAGTTCATCCTGGCCCCTGGAATCAAATAGTGAAAGCTTAGGGCATGTAATGAATGTGATGAAACGGTGTTTCAGTCTATTTTGTCTTTGTAGAAGACAAGGGGCGAATGAATAATGCTGAGATATATAAAACAGTTTTGGTTGTTTGTTTTTTTTCTTTCTGGAGTATTTAATTGTGCAGATCAGCAATTCAGCCCTTACTGTTTGCACTGCTGCAAAGGGGATTTTTAAGAAGGGTTTTGAATAAAAACTTTTGAATTAGCTTCACACTCAAAGGGGATGTCCAGGGAACGATCAGGGAGAATGTTGATGGTCTCAGACAGAAAATGAAGTTAGAAATGCATTCTGACTCACTATGGTCTCAAGTGCATTAGTAGACATCTGGGAGGTGGCAGGGAGACTGCTCCTCTGATGAATTCCATCGAAAGTAATGATTGCTCTGGGTTCACAATGCACCAGTAGTAAAGCCAACCTATTTCTTTAAAAAGTAGATAACAGTACCTCTCCAATGGAGTTTCATTTTGAGCTCTAACAGGATAGAAAGGATTTGGCAGTGAAAGGGTTACTGCTCTCAAGGCGCCAAAAGACCACACTGCATGTCCTAATTACAAGGCTCATCAGCCCAGCTGCAATGAATTCAGGATTTCCTTATCTTGCTCTACTGGGGGGATGGGGGACCTGATGGTAAAACTTAGAAACTGGTTTGGTGGGAAGTTCCAGCTGATAACTGTAAGTTTGTTTGTTTGTTTGTTTGTTTTCCTTCCTATGAAATTTGTTGACACAGTCGAATGAACCAAACTGAAAGTCTGATACTGTACTTTCCAAAGGTAACCTCTCTGCTTGGTAGATCTTTAAAATATATCTGTTGGTGGTGCTGGGAAGCAAAGCTTCCTTTGTTATTTGTTTGCTGAGTGTTTCCAGTTAAAGGCCACGTAATCTGTAAAGTTGCAGTGTGGTCCTTTGTGCAAGAGGCAGCTATTGTCTTCTATAGCTTCCTCACTCTGATTTCCAGTTGGGTAACATATGCAAGTGACTCAAGAGTTCCAGCACCTAACTCACCTCTATAAAATTCCTAGTTATGTGAATGACTGGCAAATGCTCTTGATTCCCTTGGCTAGTCCCTGCCTTTCAGAGACAGCTTTTGGGATTGATGTGCCAAGAGGTGGAAAAGGAAACACTGACTTTATCTCTACAGCTTCTTTTTTAGCAGTGGTGAAATGTTGAAAATAAAAACAACAGTACTGTTAGGAATATGCAACGAAACACTTAAATGAGTGGCAAGTCTTACTTTCCAAGTTTTCCACTGGTATGTATGGCTACTGCTTTAGCTGTAAAGGTATTTTTAACAGGGACCAGAAAGCACAGATAGCACAGTAGCATCTCAATTATGAAGCACTGAATTCTGACCAAAGGTGAAACGATTACCTATCTACCACGACAGCTGATATTAGTAAGCAATGGCAACCCGTTTATGTGGGAATGGTATCTTCTTATTAGGATTTAAGAAGTGAAGCTTTTAGGTATGGACAGGAAAAGTACCTGGAAAAATCAGTTTCTACCCCAAGTTCAGTTTGTGGCTGCTGGACCCTTAAAGCAATGATAAAGGGGTTCATATCCATTAGTTACCTGAAGCTAGAATGACCTGTGCTGGCTGACATGGTTGATAGGCTCTATCTGGCCAGTAGGTCTGTTTTGATGCTCTTTAAGTTAGTATGATTGGTGCTCATGGTTCTCTGTGTTTGTTTTAACTGCACATACTGAAGTGAGGTCCTATAGCATTTCAATATTCCTATAACTTACTCCAGTCATCAATGTTTCCATAAAATATTCTGTAATTGAAAAGCAATGAGCAAAGAATTTTTGATGACTTGTTTTTCCTTTACTATGTTGCCAACCTAATAAAGCAAACAAAAATAAAGCAGTCTTAACTGCCAGAGTTAAGTTTAAGTCAACAGGCGCCATGGCTCTTTGAAGCCTGTTGGAAAAGGCAGGTTGGGCTGCCCTGTCATCAGTGTGGAAAAAGTAAGGTCTTCATATACTG